GAGCGCTGCCGCGCTTCCCAAGCGGCGCACTATCCAGTGCGCCACCGGGCCGGCCCCATAAACGTTATTTTTTTAGAGAGCCTCTCTCTGTTTGTTTTTTCAGTTGACAGGATAAAGAAAATGTGGTCCCTCCATAAGATGAAATATTAATCATCAATAAAAGAAATATGAGGAACAGACACGTGTTACCACGTGCGTGAACCTTAAAAACATCATGCTCAGTAAAAGAAGCCAGTCACAAAAGACCACATATCGTATGATTCCATTTATATAAAATAACCAGAAAAGTCAAATCCATAGAGACAGAATATAGAATAGTGATTTCCAGGGTGTGGGGTCACGGGAAGTGTTTGCTAATGGATTCGAAGTGTCTTTGTAGAATGATGAAAAATGTTCTTAAATTGATTGTGGTGATGGTTGCACAACTCTGACCACACTAAAAGACACTGAATTGTTTGTCTTGTGTGTGTAAATCATATGGCGTGTAAATTATATCTCAATTAATTTGTTAAAAATATGAATTGAGAAACATGTGGCCCTTAGATACGACAGTTATTGTAAAAATGATACAATAAAACTGGCACACTAACCCTATTGCCTAAATTTAAATTTCAACCCCAGTACCTCGTGGCTGGGTGACCTGTCATTAATTTTTCTCTGAACCTCAGTTTCCTCATCAATGCAGTGGGGACTATAGTTCTCTCAAAACAAGGGCATGGCAAGAAAGAGAATAGTGTCAGGCATATCAAGCATTAGCAGGAAACCTGGCCTTGTGGCATCGGTGCCTCAATAGCATCACCGTTGTCATTCTTACCATCATTATTATTAATGAAGAGAAAAGGCTTTTGGGATGACTTACCTGGGGAAATTTATAAAGGCCATGGCGACAGTCATGACTGATCGAGTGTCCCCAACGAGGGCAACCTGGGAAGGGCTGAGCTGACACATGTAGTTGGGGATGAGCTCCTCCTGCCCCATGAGAAAGCCCGTTGTTTCATCAAGAGCTCCATGCACAGAATCCCCAGAGTTCCAGATGGAGAAGCCCAGCGTGAGGTTGGGAAGCAGCAGGCAGGCGTCTCTGTTGATTTCCTCGATGGCAGATACAAGACCCTGGGCCACCCAGTAGCCCCACATGGAAACACTGGTGAAAAAAGAAGCTTATATTTACCATTTGTGCAGCCCACATTTATCATGAGTGCAGATGAAGCAGGAATGAACATAGTCCGTGACTCCTAACAATGTATATACTCAAGAGGAATGAAAACGTAAATCCGCACAAAAACTTGTACATGGATGTGCATAGCAGCATCATTCAGAATAGCCAAAAGGGGGCAAGGGGAATTGAGGAGATGTTGGTCAAAAGGTATGTAGTTTCACTTAGACCGGAGTAATAAGTTTCTCGATCTATTGCAAAGCACAGTGACAAGAATTACCAAAAATTAATATATATTTCAAAATGGCCAAGAGATTGGATTTCAAATGCATGCATCCCATGGAAAATGGTAAGTGAAATGATGAATATGTTAATTATATTGAGTTAATCATGTCATAATTTATACATATATCAAAACATCACATGTACTCCATAAATATATACAATTTATTATTCAACAATTTAAAAAATAACTTCACAGTATTAAGGGATGGCAAGAATGTGGAACAACTGAAAGTCTCAGGAATTTTTGGTGGGAATGCAAAGTGGTGCAGTTACATTGAAAAACACTTCGGAAATTTTTAATAAAGCTAAACATACGTGTTTTAAAAACATAGAATAGCCAAAAAGACTATGTCTGGAGCAGCCATCTGCAAAAACAGGTTGAAAAATCCAGTACAGAAAATGCGTGATAGGTACACACAGGTAGAAAGAAACCAGAGGAGTTGACCAACTCATAGATTTATTTAATCTGCAAACATTTATTCATTCAATAAGCACACCTACCATGTGCCTGGGGCTGTTTTAAGCATGGAGGGTTGGTGGTGAACAAGAGAGACGGAATCCCTGCCTGAACTGTNACTTGTACATGGATGTGCATAGCAGCATCATTCAGAATAGCCAAAAGGGGGCAAGGGGAATAGAGGAGATGTTGGTCAAAAGGTATGTAGTTTCACTTAGACAGGAGTAATAAGTTTCTCGATCTATTGCAAAGCACAGTGACAAGAATTACCAAGAATTAATATATATTTCACAATGGCCAAGAGATTGGATTTCAAATGCATGCATCCCATGGAAAATGGTAAGTGAAATGATGAATATGTTAATTAGATTGAGTTAATCATGTCATAATTTATACATATATCAAAACATCACATGTACTCCATAAATATATACAATTTATTATTCATCAATTTAAAAAATAACCTCACAGTATTAAGGGATGGCAAGAATGTGGAACAACTGAAAGTCTCAGGAATTTTTGGTGGGGATGCAAAATGGTGCAGTTACATTGAAAAACACTTTGGAAATTTTTAATAAAGCTAAACATACGTGTTTTAAAAACATAGAATAGCCAAAAAGACTATGTCTAGAGCAGCCATCTGCAAAAACAGGTTGAAAAATCCAGTACAGAAAATGGGTGATAGGTACACACAGGTAGAAAGAAACCCGAGGGGTTGACCAACTCGTAGATTTATTTAATCTGCAAACATTTATTCATTCAATAAGCACACCTACCATGTGCCTGGTGCTGTTTTAAGCATGGAGGGTTGGTGGTGAACAAGAGAGACGGAATCCCTGCCTGAACTGTGGGGTCCATGCAGCACAATGTGGAAACAAGAAACCCACATCTCATACAGAGACAGTTACAAATAAGAAGGAAAAGATGGAGAGAGCTGCTAAGGTAGGACCTAGGAGACAAGATTGACCAGCAATAGGGAAGACAGGATGAACCCTGACCACCCAGTTGGAATTCTGAGAATCAGCCACTGCCCTAGGCTTTAGAGAAATGCTCCTGAAGGTGCCCTCTATTTTCAGGAGCTCCCCACCAGCCATCCAGGCAGCCACTTATGTAGAAGATGCCAATCCAGCTAGTGGGACAGTGAAATCAAACAGGGTGATGTTACTGAAGTGAAATATGGAGAAGCTGCCCCCAATCACCACATCCGTGGGACAGTCAAAGCAGGGGCTCTTCCCTGGCAATCGCCAGCCTGTTGGTCTAGAAAGGGCGGACTCAGAGAGAGATCCCATGAGGTCAGGAAGCAGAGAGCACAGCCACATTCCCAGAAAAGAAGCTGTACAACAGGTGACAGGGTAGCCCCTGTGTGGGGCCTCACCACACTGTGACAGGGACTTTTATCTAGAAGTTCACCCTCGATCTGGGACCTGGAGGCTGGGACCACACCTGGATCTCGGTTATCCAGGCTCTAGGGAGAACGTGGATCCTGATCTGGAGCAGGGTGAACACTAAATCCCCAAACCATTAAAAGTTTTGCTTCTTCATCTCCCCCAAGCCAAGGGTACAGCTCTCAGGCCTCATCTGTAGACTATGGGCATGGGAACGAATGAGTCCTGACTGTGTCCTCAAGGACCCCACAAGCCCAGGAGCAGCAGTGCTTGGGGTCCCCGTGAGAAGGTTCCCAGGGGGATATGAGAGGCAAAGAGCTTTATATCCCCTCATACCTCACCTGCAGCATTTTGAGATGGGAGACATCCCAGAGATTCAGGTGGCCCTGGGCCAATACCTTCTGCCCCAGGGCCACCGGGGCCTCAGAGTAGAGGGTCCCAGAAAGGGACAAGGCATGTTTAGCCCCACGAGGCATGTGAAGGACTGACCCAGCCTGACCTGGTGTGTATCGTGGTCAGGGAGACCAGGTCCAGGCAGGGGAGGGAAGCTGGGCTGTGAGCAACTCCCCAACACAGAGCATAAAAGTTAGTGCTCACAACCTTACAACATGTGACTGCAGCTTTCTATGCCAGAAGAAAAGATGGCTAACTTCATTAGCCATCAAGGACACACAAATTAAAGCCACAATGAGGTAAAGAACACTCACTAGGATGGCTTAATAAAATAAAAATTTAAAAGCAAAAATAACAAAAAAAAGTGTTGGTGAGGATGTGAACAAAAATAACAAAAAGAAGCGTTGGTGAGGATGTGAAGAAATTGGAACTTTTCTATATTGTTGGTGAGAATGTAAGATGATGCAGCCACTTTAAAAAACAGTCTGGAAGATCCTCAACATGTTAAACAAAGAGTTACTATATGATCCATCAATTCCAGTCCTCAGTACATGCCCAAGAGAAATAATGCATGTCCACACAAAAATTTGCACATGAATGTTAAAGAAGCATTTTTTATAAGAGCCAAAAAGTGGGAACAATTAAAAATGCCCACCAATGGATAAGTGGATAAATGAAATGTGGTATATCCATATGCTGTGGTTCGAATGTTCCCCCAAGCTCACGCTGGAGCTTGATCCCCATTAACAAGTGTTAAGAGGTTGGGAGATCCAAATATCATACTCGAAAGGTGAGGCCTTTCAGAGGTTACTGGACTGTGAGGACTGTGCCCCCATGAATGTATTAACCCATTCATGGATTAATAGGTTAGAGGTCTAATGTGTTGTCAGGAAGTAGACCAGTGGCTTTAAAAGGAAAGCGAGTGAGTGTGTGGAAACCCCCCAGCTGACCTCTTACCATGCGACAGCCTTCAGCGCCATGGGATTCTACAAAGGGTTACCATCAAGAAGAAGGCCCCCTCCAGATGTGCTCCCTAGACTTTGGACTTCAAAGCCTCTAGAACTATAAGAAATAAATTTCATTTTTAAAATAAATTACCTAGTTGCAAGTACTCAGTTAAGTGACAACAAAACAGACTAATACACCATACAGTGAAACATTATTTAACCATAAAAAGTAACAATGTTCTGAAACATGCTGCAATTTGGCTGAACCTTGAAAACATCAAGCTATGTGAAAGAAGGCAAACAAGAAAGGCCACATACTGTATGACTTCATTCATATGAATTGTCAAGAATAGGCAAATCCATAGAGACGGAGAGTAGATTAGTGGTTACCAGGGACTGGGGATAGGGGAGAGTGTGGAGACACTGCTAGTAGGTACTAGTTTCTTTGTGGAGTGATGGAAAAGTGCTGGAATTAGACAGCTGTGATGCTTGCAAAACTTTGTGAATATACTGAAACACTGAATTGTACACTTTAAAAG